GGAGTTAATCAAGCATATGCATAACATGGAAAGTGAAACACCTAAGCTCAGGACCAGGTTCGGATATCAAGACTTCTTCATAACCTGGTTGCTAACCTTAGTAACGACGACGTGGTACAGCAAGTTATTAGTTTCTTCATTGAGCGTGCAATACGACCGGACTCAAGACTGTGCATTTTTTAGGATGGATTCTTCGTGTTTCTTGCTAAAATAACGCTCTCCAATGGACTTATTTATGGATGTGAATTACTTTTGCCTTTTAGTCATGCCTTTTGTGTACGCAATCCTCTGGACTATGATGCTGCAGTACAAGTTATTCCTATTATCAAGGAAGCTCGTGATTATCTCGCTGTTGCAAATACCATGATTAAGAAGCTGAAACGTGATTGTCTCAAACTTTTGACCAACGGACTTTCTGATATTATTAAAAAGCGAAACAAGTTCAAATCCGATGTTGATTCGCTTCACAGAACCTCGCCAGCATCGACCATCCTGAAACTTGCTTGTTTCACAAACGTGTGAAACCCTACCCAATTATCTCAATTCCTGTGGATTGGGATACTCGAAGCTTCATTCTGCTACCCAATGTCTTCCCTAAACTTTAAAGATTTTGCCATTACTTTATTTTGCTGCTCTGTTCTTATCTTAAATCTAATCTAAAAATTTTTGTCTTCCCTAAATTCTATTACCAGGTGCAAGCACGCGAGTTCTGGCGCCAGTCCTAATCTCATTTGAATAGCACATTTGTTATTCTCAATTCAAAATGCAGAATCTTTAAGCCTATGATATTATTTACAAAATCTATTTCTTGCATATGGAAAGAAATTTTGTTAAATTTCTCTTCCTGAATACTTCACAGTGTAGTTAGCTTAAGTTTGCAATCATCACCAAGGGTAATGTCACCGTAAAAGATTACCATGCTCTTTGGTATTCAGTTACTAATATTTAAAAAAAAAAATTTAGACGTCATTGTGTGAGTCAGTTCTCAAGTTATGGTGTGTTGATAGTCATGTACTGATGAAAGCAAAAAAAAAAAGTAAATAATATTCGCCAGATTAGCGTTAGGAATATGAATTAATCAGTAGATATAAAATCAACGATATTTCAATGTAAAATGCTTTGATATGAGATGTTATGCCAAGAAAAAGGCGGCTACCGAGTCACATTATTGGCCATATAGATTTTTGCTAATAAATGATTGTTTCTTCAGTATGGTGGTATTTTATTTAATACTAATGTGAAATTAAGAATCGTGTCTTTCCACATGTTTGTTTCGTTATGAGAAAATATAAAATGTGCATGTTTATAGCATAGCCAAAACAAAACGGAAAAAAAAAAGAGAGAGAGAGAGAGATTCTGCCGATTCTGAAGGTCCGGATTTTGGATCACTTCGGATATTAGATATCCGGTTTTCGGAATTTATGCTGTATAAAATAAACTTCGAAATAAATCAAAATTTGACGGTGCAAGGTTAGGGCTATATGAGGATGCGACATCACTTACCAACCTAGCTACAGCAATTTCGTACGTACGTTAAGGAAGTTATTTTTAACAATTAAGTTAAGAAGACATAAAATTGCGCAAGTCATCTTGCTAAGAAAACTTAACATTTATGAGGTAAACTAAATAGAGTTTTAAAAAAATCGAAAAATATATGGCAACACTTAACACTCTATCAAGAATTCTAAAAACATGCCACTTTTAAAAATTGTATAGTTTTAATGTTGAATTTTATGTGGCGTAAGCGATGCTTAATAGTAAAGTTAAAAAATCAAAAAAAGTTTAATTAGGAGGCATGAGTTCAAGAGCAGACTGATAAACTGCGAGCTCAGTGAAAAGTCAATATCCTTTCACAATTTCTTTTTTTTTTTTTCACAAATTTTTGGGGCTGAACATATGTCAAATGGTAATCTTAACATTGTATCTGCCAAAGGGTGTTTTGAATGTACACAATTTATTACATGCTTCATCAAGATAAATTTGCCAAAATGCGCTGTTAGTAACTAAAAAAGTAACTATTTTTGCTTTTGGCTCTATAGTGACAGCTGTATAGCACTTTTATTCTATTAAACTAAGTGTCAAGGAACCTAGTGAACTGCTAACCAAATAATCGCTTAAGTCCAAAAACAGAAATAGAAACCCAAAAGAATTAATTACCCTTTATTTATTTCAAATAAAGATTAACAGTCAGTGCCTTTCTCAGGGCGTACAGTTGACAGTTGAGAGCAGAGTCTGAACACTCGTGCGGCTTACTTAGACTATTCGGGTCTAGTCCAGGCTCCGCAACTATCCGGGGCAACACTTTATGGGCCCCATAAGGGCATACATTGATCCTGCATCATAATATATGCTTACATAGTTCATAATATATACTTACATAGTTCATAATATGTATGCTTACATAGTTCATAATATATGCTTACTTAGTTCATAATATATGCTTACTTAGTTCATAATATATGCTTACAAGTTCATTATACATTGAGCCTGTTACTTAATACATGCTTACATAGTTCATAATAATTTTCATTGGCCATAATACATACGTGTTTCATAATATATACAGTACTTAGGCTATGCCGAACTCTACTAAATCTGCATTAAAAAAAGAGAGAGAGAAGAGAGATTGACTGGAATCTGTACCGCACTGCACAAATATTTTCCCAGTTTCTACAATTTCTGCGTTATCTTGCATATTTTGCTGCAAAATGCATATCTTGCATATTTTGCTGTTTGATCGGATAATGCTTATGAAAAACTGCCTGTTCCAGAAGCTGAACATGCCACTGCGCGGTTAGAGGGCATTGGGTCAAGTAATGGTCTGGGTTTACCCATGGCTCCACAGACACAACTTTTGGTATTTGCAATTCCTCGCTCATAGTAATAGGAGGGAAAAGGCCCATGCCCGTCACAAATCTTGTAATTTGTGGGGGATGACTCGAGACGATCGAGCAAAACTTTATGGTAGTATTCATAGGTCCTCCTGCTTTTGTTCGATAGTGTCCCATTGCCACTGGTGCTGAGCTGATATCCTTGTCACTTTTTTAAGGTGAGACCATGGGAGTTTGGTAATAATGCTTTGAGCATCGATACTGTGAGCTGCTTTGTTTGCTAGGCTGTCGGCTTCCTCATTACCTTGAATGCTGGCGTGCGCCTTTATCCAAGATATGAGGGTATTTGTTGTCGGCGAACGCTCCTTCAGCATATCCTGAATCTCAGCTATGATAGAAGAAGGATGTCTGGGATTTCCTAAGGCATATATGACTGACAGGCTGTCTGTAAGAATAATAATAGTGGATCCTACTGGGGGGCTTGTTAACTCCATAGCTTTGCAAATCGCAATTGCTTCAACCTGGAAAATTGAATTATTCTGTCCCATATGATCTTTCCATGTTATCAGCATTTCCTTGTTCGTAGTTATTATGATGCCACAGCCTACTTGTCCGTCAACTTTTGAACCATCCGTGTATATGTAGTATTGATCCTTTATGTCAGAGCCATCTTTCCATGATTTGTGGGCCCAGACTCCTTTTCCGTAGTTAGACGGATGGATGATATTTACTAGCCTTCTTTCTTCAGGGTGTACAGCAAACCTCCACTTAAAATGTAAGAAATAAGAACTAACACAATTCTAAACTAGTTCGCCCGTAATAGTAAATTATCCAGCGAACTATCAAAAGGTATGTAATGCGGCCGACAGTAATAATAGCTTAGAGAGACGTAGCCCAAAGGCAAATGCGCGCTACTTTGGTATCCTATCATTCTCTTTGGCGAAATGAATTGAACTTGACTTAGATATTATTCTCTTCTCATCTGGATTTAACGCGATACTAAAAAATCATTCTGGTAATCCGAGTTGTAAGCTGAAGTTGTAGAAACATTAGTTTTTTATTATTATTCTTCTTATTATTTATTTTATTTTAAAGGAGAAGTGAAAAATGAGCAACGTCTTCATCGGGAATCGAACCACGGACTTCTGGAATACGCGCCCAGCTTGCGACCACTACACTACAAAGGCATGCTAAGAAGGCAGGAGAAATACCTTATATACCCCCTTTTAAAGGGGGACTGGGGTTGTTAGGAGACCCAGTCGCCAAATCCTGGGTGTGCAGAATCATCATCCGGCACCCTTTTAGTTTGGGCGCCAATGTAGAGACTTTTTTTTAAGCAGGGGAAGTGAAAAATGAGCAACTCCTACGCCAGGAATCGAACCACAGACCTCTGGAATACGCGTCCAGCGTGTAGACCAGCAAACTGCAAAATCATGCTAAGAAGGCGGGAGAAATACCTTATAAAGTTAGGAAAAACAGGAAAGGTGAACGAAATTAAAATAACTGTTATAAAATTAAAATATACATTACCAGCTGTTAAAAAGGTTTGCTAGAATATTTTAAAAATCTGAATGTAAAGTATTTGTGAAAGGTTTTTTTTTTGGGGGGGGGTACTAAAGCATTCACTGTTTATTTTTGTAATTAATATTCCTGATTATATTTACATAACAATTTTAATAAACTGACATATAGTATTTCTGCCTCATTATTTTTCCTTGGCAGACTCCAAAAGCTTGGAATATAATAAATATCTATTAAGCAAACTGATGATCGTGTGTTTTAAAATCACCATCACTTATTGTTTGCTTTTGTAAGATAATAGCTCCACAAAAGTTCAGAGTTAATTGGAACACTAAGTTGTCACCTTAGAGAGGGTTCACGGTATTTGCATGTTGAATGGCTCTGAGAATGGCAAACGATTTTTATAGGTGCATAGATTTATTACTATTAATAATACCGAGTGTATTAATTTAGATACAATAATACAGAATGTGTTTGAAAATGGATGTGGCTATAACAAAAAGGATTTTACCCGAAGTGTTATATAATAAAATTAAGAATTATCAATAAAATTATTCTAATTTTTTGATAAACTTTTAATAAATTTGATTTATGTGACATCATTTTCTGCTTATTAATTTATTAATTATTATTATTATTATTATTTAGAGTTATGTTCAAAACGTCAGAAGAGTAATGAATGGGGAGAAAGGAAATGTTCAGAAAATATTTCGGAAGGGAAGCTATTTATAAAGGCAGTAATTAAAAAAAAATATTCGTTTATGTATTTTGTGAAGGATAATTAAAAATTTTTCTTAGTTTTGTACCAAGTTTTTTAGATAAAATATGAATTTGTATTATGATTTTTGTATTCTCCTTACAGTCATATGACATACAAATAATTCTTCATTGAAGTGTGTGTATGAGCGATTGAAAACTCCTTATAAAATTTTAAACACAGGTCTGATATACGTCAAGAAACCATATTATAAGTGTAGGAATATATATTTAAAAATACTTCCTCACAGGGTGTAGAGGACACTTATTTGGCAACAAATTAGTTGTGCAGAACGAGTCAACATTATTTATGTCTTTGTATGAATAAGATGTACTACTATTAAGTGTGAGGAAATTGCCAGTACCTTAGCTGTCTCAAGCAGTGAATGGAAACAGATAAGCTGTAATACGATTAAATCATGACTGGTTAGTTCCTCAACATTTTATCCTGTCATCTTATGTAAGTTTGTGACAGTAAATCATTCTAAGAAATATGAGCCAGTTCCTCTTAGAAAGTCCTTCATGAAGGCATCCTTTCCCTTAGACAGATGACCTTTGTATGTGTTTCCATATTCAGTTAAACAGTAGATAATTAACAATAACTGAAGAATTATCTCTTTCTTTGCAAAAAATGAGAGAAAATTTCTTGAGCAATGTGAGTACGGGTGGTGGAATCCCGAGGTACCCTAGCCCTTCAGGGGATCATTTCTTGGTGAGACGGGTGTCACCGATCCTGGAGCCCCAGTGATATCCTTTTTCCGTCTCCTCTCCTCTTGGCTGGATCTTTTCCTCCCTTCTCCTGTGGTTTCTCTCTACGGAGTTTGGGGCTCGTCACGAGAGGCTGGAACGACCTTGTTTCTAGTTTCAAGGGGGAGAAAGGCCCACGTGTTTGCCGTGCGTGAGCCCGTGTCGCTGGAAAGAGGGTCCTTGTGAGGAGCGAGGTACTGTCCCCAACACACTGCTTTGGGCCTCTGCTTCAGCTAAACGGGAGGCACCTTAGTGTTCCTCACGGGTTTCAATCGGCTGGTCAGTCCTTTAGTGGCTTGGGGGTCAAGCTCTCGGAGTACCTGCTTTCGGGGGGAAAGCCGATGTGGGCTTCAGTTTGCGATAGGCCGGTAGCCCTAACACAGGAATGTGTTCCCTTGTTGGGCTCCGTGGGGGCGGGGCCGTCGGACCCGAATCTTTATTCTTTCCTATGTTCTCATATTTACTTATAAAAGATTCGAGGTAAACTCCAGTCACTCAAGAACCTGTCACCTCAAGTCACTCAAACACTCCTGTCCCAACCTAGTTCTGAAACTTCTACTCCTAAACCAGTACTCAACCTAGTTCTGAACATTACTGTTAACCAGTCATTCAACCTATTTCTGAAACGTCTACTGCTAAACCATCACTAACCACTCACTCAACTACTTCTTGAAAGTCTACTGCAAAAAAAATTACGTACAGATACAAATGAAAAAAAAATACAATATTCCCCGTTTTCCTAGTATCTCAGTCCTTCTGGAAATGCATAAGATGTCTCCTTTCGTAATAAACAAATACATCCAGTCCTGTATTGGTGAGCGAGAAATATAAAGCGTCTCCGCCGGAGAGACCTGCTTATTGATCAACCTCAGCCACCCAGTCTGCTTCTTTACTTCAGATAACTAAACTTGGGCAAGCGAATGTGACTGAAAACACCAAATAAGTCACTACTATTGTCGGGTGGAATCTCAGAATTCGACCTTCTGTATGTTTCTGAAGAAGAGATCACTTCTGAGCTCTCCGAACAAATGTCTGCGGGTAAGGCGGATCAAGATGCGTAAAGAAGGTAAGTTGATAAACACGAAAAACGTGATCCTTACCTCAACACGCTGATCTGCCTAGAATATTAAGGCCGGATATCTAAATATTCCTGTAAGACCTTATATTCCAAACCCTATGCGATTTTCCAATGCCAAGCGTTTCGGCCATTCTAACGCTTGTTGTGGCAGCCTACATGCGCCGATGCTCACAGATTGGCCACGATTCTGAAAATTGTACGGCTGCGCCCTTTGTATAAATTGCAGGGTGAGCACCCAGCATTTTCATCCTCTGCCCAAAAATGGAAATTGAAAAAAGAAGTCAGACTGCAAAGTTACGAGGAACATCTCATTCCGAACCGAGAGTAGTCAGAGCACACAGCTTCGACCAATACATCATACGCCAGTGCTGTAAAATCATCTCGTACAGTCGAACCCAAACATCAATAGCACACAGACATAGCAAATAAAACCCATCCGTCTACATCCAACAAGCAAAGAAAATGCAACCATATAGTACAAAACAAGAAACAGTTATTCAAAGTAAGCCAAACTTCTACACATAAATATCCAATAAAAATAGAAGTCACAGCAATAGCTCTTTTGATGAGATGATTCGAATCTGCGATTCAGATTATGGAAGTAGAGAGGGTCTAGAGTTCCCAGCATCTACTTCCACGAAAAACAAAAAACAGCACAGAAAAACAAAAACCATTCATAATGGCACCCTCATGTCATGGAACTGTCGCGGTTTCCACGAAATTTCCTGACATCAATTATATAAATGTGTATCATCCTGTGTGTTAGCAATACGGAAACAAATTTGAACCCGAACACCATGCAAAACTTCGGAGGTTTTCTTTCGTCAGGAAGGATAACATTGCAGGTGAGCGTGCCAGTGGAGGTGTAGGTCTCCTCTCCTCACTGGATGACCCTTCAAATGACTCCTTTGACGACTCCCTCCAAGTTGTCGCTACTCAAATAAATTTTGATATTATTGTTTCATTGTTTCTTTGTATTTTGCCTCAAAATGAGCACATTTATCAGAAGATTTAAATAATCTAATAGAGCAGCTGCCTGAGCCTTTTACATAATGGAGATTTTAACGGCCATAGTCCACTCTGGGGAAGTAAAGACAAATTGCCGAGGAAGACAAATAGAGCAGATGATCGAAGATCATGCCTTTGTCTCCTAAATAATGGGAAGATACGTACTCCATGAGCCTTCAGGACATTCCACGCTCTCGATCGCCATCTGTTTCACCATCTCTGTTGCCATTTTGCACTTTTAGTGTCGGAAATGACCTGTACAAAGCGATCATTATCCTATTTTGTGTCTCTTGCACGAAGGAGCAAACCCCGTGTCGAGAGTCCCTCGTTTTATCCTGAAGGGCAGACTGGGAACTCTTCTTCGTTGCAGCGACAGGAGGAAATGTAGAAGGGTGCATTCGATGACATGTTGAGCTGTTACTAATACTATTATTCAGGCAGCATGCTTTCGATTCCTAGAACATCAGGAAAAACACTAAA